TTATGTGGACCCCCCTACGTGGAGCCCCCTACGTGGACTCTCCTACGTGCACCTGGTTATGTGGACCCCCTACGTGGAGCCCCCTACGTGGACTCTCTTACGTGGACCCTGCTTATGTGGACCCCCGTGGAGCCCCCTACGTGGACTCTCTTACGTGGACCCTGCTTATGTGGACCCACTATACGTGGAGCCCCCTACGTGGACTCTCTTACGAAGGTGGACCCCCCTACATGGAGCCCCCCACTTGGACTCTCCTACGTGGATCCTGGTTATCTGTGGACCCCCCTACGTGGAGCCCCCTACGTGGACTCTCTTACGTGGACCCTGCTTATGTGGACCCCCCTAGGACTCTCCTACGTGGACCCTGGTTATGTGGACCCCCCTACGTCGAGCCCCCTACGTGGACTCTCCTACGTGGACCCTGCTTATGTGGACCCCCCCACGTGGAGCTCCCTACGTGGACTCTCTTACGTGGACCCTGCTTATATGTGGACCCCCCTACGTGGAGGGGGCTCCTACGTGGACTCTCTTGCGTGGACCCTGCTTATGTGGACCCTCCTACGTGGAGCCCCCTACGTGGACTCTCTTACGTGGAACCTGCTTATGTGGACCCCCCCTACGTGGAGCCCCCTACGTGGACTCTCTTACGTGGACCCTGCTTATGTGGACCCCCCCACGTGGAGCCCCCTATACGTGGACTCTCTTACGTGGACCCTGCTTATGTGGACCCCGTGGACCCTGCTTATGTGGACGCCCCTACGTGGAGCCCCCTACGTGGACTCTCCTACGTGGTTATGTGGACCCCCGTATACGTGGAGCCCCCTACGTGGACTCTCCTACGTGGACCCTGGTTATGTGGACCACCCCCCTACGTGGAGCCCCCTACGTGGACTCTCCTACGTGGACCCTGGTTGTGTGGAGGCCTTGTCTGGCCCTATGTGGAGGCCTTGGCCAGCTTTATGTGGCTTTATGTGGAGCCCTTGGCTTGCCATATGTGGAAGCCTTGGCCGCCCGTGGAGGCCTTCACTGGCACGTGAGGAGCCAAGGCCCCCACATAAGGCCCGGCAATCCTGCTGTTTTTTATTGTTGTGAATGATGAAGGAACTGCACATTTAAATATACGGAGCCGCCCGTCGCCCCCAAACATACGGACAGAATAGGAATTATACACTACCTCCGGGCGGATCAACCCTGGGCCGCCCTCCACATATTTTAATGGCGTAACCGTAAGTTGAGAATGAGGGCTAGACGCATGATAACATGAAATACAAAACCAAAGACTGGAGAAGTGGGACTCCACATGCCCTGCGTGTCATGCCCGTGCTGAAAGGGTGCATGTTTCAGACATCGCGTCGATATTCGTAAAGTACAGGACAGGTCAGTGCACGTCGGTCATTGCCGGGAGCACAGTCTGACAAGATTGGCACGATGGGTCTCGCCGCGAAAGCCCGCTGGGCCTGCCGCAAGCGACACCAGGGAAGTGCTGCGCCTGCCAGGCAACTCACACCTGCGCAAGAAGAACCAGGGCAGACATCCGACTCCTTGGAGAGCACCAAGCGCTGCGCCTGCCACACCCGCACAGAAGCGGCGACCCAGGAGCATTCAGCCCCCTGGAGAGCACCAGTGCTGCGCCTGCCACGCAACTCACACCTGCGCAGCGGCCGCGACCAGGAGCACCAGGGCAGACATCCGACTCCTTGGAGAGCACCAAGTGCTGCGCCTGCCACGCAAATCACACCCGCACAGCGGCGGCGACCCAGGAGCACCAGGGCGTACATCCGACCCCTTGGAGAGCACCAAGTGCTGCGCTGCAAAGGCACTGCGCTCTTTTGTAGGAGAGAGACTCCTAGAACCGTTTTGGCTTGAGCCTCAAGCTTCAGGGAGTGTGCTTGAAATGGCCGACATCAAATAATTCTTCATCACCGACCCTGCCGACCTTAAATGAATATATATATATATATATATTCATATATGATCATGTATGTATGTATGTATGTATGTACAGTATATATACACACAAACTAGATATCACTAGTCTTAGTTCCTGTGTAGCTTCGTTGTACGAGTAGCTCCTTTTTGATCCTTTTTGAGGTTCTTGCGACGAGTCTCTGGAGTCTGACGCATCGGACTTCGACGCGTGCAAATGCACCTTGTCGAACCGTACACTTGCTGGTGCAATCTGAGTGAGCTGTTAGTCCTTGAGCAACTTGCCATGTTGGCTTGGCAAATTTGCCACGCAGCTCAAGCGCGCGTATTCAGGCTGAATAATTCAGCGAACGTGTGGAAAACCTGGTTCGCATGCTGCCATCTTGCACACTAGACGGCGATCATTTCTTTCACAGTCCAGCCAAGGAATACCTTGGATTGGCGTGCAATAGTCCCAATAAACAAGCTGATGGAAACTAGCCATCGAGCCAATTAGATGCCAAGGCACGATCGCTCCGATGCCACCAAATGCGATGAAATACTGTCAGGAGTGTCCAACCAGAACACACGACTTGTTTCATCCCAATGTCGAACACATCTTGAAACTTACCGACGAAAACTTGTGGCTTGGGTCAAAATTTGTCTGGGAAAGTTGCAAACACGGCCTGAGCTAACATTGCAATCGTGTGCAACTCAACATCGTAGCCGTTAGATTTCATGGCTTCAGCTTCAGGCAGGCTGAGAGGGAAAGGGAACCCGGTATGCAAGTTGTCAAGCAAGGTCGAGACAAGAAGCAACCGCGCTGCAAGTTTCTGTACAACAACAAAGTGGAATACCGACGCTGACAAGCTTCAGGCCAGCGGAGTAAGGTTCCAAGACCGGTGAGGTCGAGGATGCTCTCCACATTCGCACAAAAGTGTCCAGTCCAAATGGCAACCTGTTCGAAGATCGTTGCGCACTTAGGCCTCATGGATAGGCCTCATGGCCCCATGCTCTTCTCTTGCAGGTCTGTGGGCCAAAGCGTGACTCCTGCGTGCCACTGCTCACAGGTTCACAAGGGCTGGACAACATTTTTGGATGCTGGAGGTACACAGCGATCGAAGCGAAACAAAGCGAACGGGAGCAAGGTGCTTGACCACATTGCTGATCATTCGACCGTCGTTGGCAGTGACAAGTTCACGCTAAGTAGAAGTGGGAAACGTGTTTGAATTGCAGTGGCGAAGATGAAATTCTGCAGAAGCACGCAAACTACGAAACAGTACACGAACAAACCCTATGGGCGGTTAACAATGGTTAACATCCACGTCATGTGAACTCACGACCCATATCTGTTTGAATGTAGCCACCTTTGTGTCGAGGTTCGTGTTACCTGCAAGTCTGCCATCATTTTCTTCAAGAGAACGGAGCATGCCGCAGTGGTCCGCAACAGTTGCTTTTCTAGCCTGGGGTTCAAATCTTTTCATCTGGTGCTCCAGCTTGTTGCACAAACCCATCGGCATACAGGCATTGCCAACGTAACAAAATGTATATAACGTTTCGTGGTTCGCAACACAACGTCCTTCGACTATACAACGATTAGGACATGGCTGAATTCTTAAGTGTTGGAACTGGACACAAGCTCACAGCCAAACTTCTTGCTCCACCTTCCTTGCTTCACGGCAGCGGCAACAGCTTGGCACGGAAGCACCGCAAATATTGAAGTATGCAATTTTCCCGACAGGAATGTGTGAAATGCCGCACGCCGCAGGAGAGATGAAATATGTACATATACAGAATATACTGGGTAGGGTAGGGTAGGGTAGGGCAGGGTAGGTGGGTAGGTGGGCAGGTACGTATGTGTGCATGTATGTACTGTGTATATATATATAGTTTGAATGCCATGTGGCACTTCAACCTGAAAGCTTCAACGTGGGATGATGACAGAATCCGGAAACCAGTAAAGCAAAGTCAGGAGACCATGTCCGAGTCAGGAAAGTCAGGAAACCTATGAGAGAATCTAAAGTGCTGGAAGGTCCTTAACTCGGAAGTGCAAGCCGAAGCCGTGAGTCAGGAAACCTGAGTGAGAAACATTTTGGGCCGGAGGGACGTGGGGTCTAGAAGGCTTCAAAGATTGAAACTATGAGTTGGAGAGACAGGAAATGAGTCAGGAAACTTGGGCTGGAATGGCAATGGCGCAGGAGGACAGGATCTGAACAGCTTAAAAGTTTGAAACTATGAGGGAAAACTGGACGGAAAGCAGGTCAGGAAGCTTAGGCTGTTTGATTGAAAGTAGTATTGCTTCTGGCCTTCAAAAAGCGCCCAGATTGGACCGACCTATTCCAGGAAACAGACTGCCAAACAAAGGCCCTCGGTTATTGAAAAAAAGTTCTTAAGAAGGATTGCCATTCTCATGCACTACAGTTTGACACACCGGAAGGAAGCGCAACCCGTAACCATTTTTGGAAGCCAGGTTGAAAGCCAGCTCACATAATGTTGTATAGAAACCTAAGCCAAGCCTAAAACAAGCGCAACCGGTGCACCAAGCCGAAAGAAATCCTAAAGAAGTGATGAAAGCAGTGAAGCACCAAAGACACCCCAAAGAAGTGAAACTCCAAACCTAAGGGACCTAGGCCAAAGACAGCCGTGAAGAAGTGAAGCCCAAGCCAAGCCCAAAGAAACCCTAAGCCTAGCCCAGAGTTACCGTAAAGAAGCATCACTGCAAGTGGCAAGGGAGGGTGTTGTTTTAAAGTTTTTTAGTGACTAAACAGACTAAACATATTAATTGCGAAACTCTGGGCCCTTAGTTGCGAAACATTGGGTTCCTACTGACGAAGCTAAACATGTGGAGACTCCATATGCACGTTGACACACACACACACACACACACATCGGCGAACGTGAGAATAGATGTCAGCGTGACAATATGAGTCATGTCAGCGTGTCCAAATGAACACCAAACCTGCCCGGGGACGTGCGCCACCCCGGAACCTGCTCCGTCTGGAGCCTGCTCCAGAAATTGGTGCAGAACCTGCTCCGGAGCCTGTCTTGGAGCTTTGCTCTGGAACCTGCTTCGATCCCCCTTGGTACCGACAGCTAAGGTAGATCCCCAGGATTTTACGAATTAAACTCCTACAGAACCAAGGTGACTTTGTATTTTTTCAATGGTGCCCTAGTTTTTTTTCCCAAAAGGTGCTTGTTATAAAATCCTTTGGACCAACGTGTGTTCAGGGGGTTTGGAACCAAGGAAAAAATAAGGAGTCCGGGCTGATCAAATGCGTAATTAATCCTGGGTATCTACCTTAGCTGGTCCCTCCAGTGCCCTCCCAAACGCATACCCTCCAAGCCAAAGGCCTCGTTTTACTGGACTCTATTTTCTGCAAAACTGATAGCAAAAGTTGACCTCCAAAAACTGTTCGTGGAAATGGTGGAAAGCAGGACTTTACTCCGTAAAGTACGTCTTTTACAACGGCAACTACAAGAAGCAAAAGACGTCCTTGACTCAGTGAAAGGCGTCTTTTACTTGACAAATGGTAAAAGTAAAAGACGTTTTTACTTTATACATATATGGTGCTCTGGTGTTTGCAAAGACATGGCCCGAATTCTCTGTCAGCTACCACTCCAAAAATGTGCCTGTAAATGGTTTATAGTTAAATTGCTTGATTACATGGCCCCATACGCACCACTAGCCACTAGGCGACGTTGTGGTGCCACTAGAGGATTCGGTGACGTTGTGGTTCGAATCCCCCCTGGACATATTTTTTCGATGGATACAAGCTTCCAGGCTGCAAAAAGCGTGGGCGTGTGCGCATTGGAGCGTAGGTGCTGGTCCCGCTGCAGGGTGTCGTTGCGCTTGAAAGTTTGGTTGCATTGTGCCGCTTCTCTGTGCGTTTCGGAGCTGGGTACAGCAAGAGGTTGACAAAAACTGTCCACGAAAAGCGTCCTCTCCAGTATCTCCAAAATCCTAGCCCAACCCCAGCATCTCTACCTTGTGAACTCCTACAGCTTCAGTAAAATCCTGTAGTCTAACGTGCTTTTGGAATCCTGGCGCCTAACCTTGAGCAAAAGGATTTCAAAAAAGCAACATTTCTGGTGTATTTTCCTGGGGTCCTACCTGACTTCCTTATTTTTTCTTTTTTTCGAAAGTTTTATTTTTCTGAATTCTGGCCGTCTACCCCTAGGATTTCAGTATGGCGCAAGCAAGGGGGATCTGCTTCGGAACCTGCTGCTCTTGCTTCGCGCTACTTGCTTCGCGCTACTTGCTCCGCGCAACTTGCTCCGGAACCTGCTCTCGAACATGCCCCAGAACTTGCTATGGACCTTGCTCCGGAACGTTCGCAGCCTGCTCCGGAACCTGCTCCGATCTCTGATCTGAAGCCTTTTCTATGACTTTGAGGGTATTAGAAAGGCTTGACTGGCGTGGTTTGTTCGGGCATGACACGCGAACAGCTCCATCCGCAGCAAAAGCGCTGAAGGTCTTGATGCTTCATGAGGTGGTGAATGTTGGGGATGCACAGATATGCACGGGACGGCCTAGAAAGGTCGTCGCAAAGTTTGGTCATATCGGAAGGAACGGGTCTGTTCGGTCGAAGCCGAGATGTTGAGATTCCAGAATGCTTGGGACTCAACGTTGAGACTCAACGTATACAACGATGATCCAAACGACTTCGTACCCCTAAAATGATTTGGAAGGATGCAGGCACAAGGTGCTGTCTGCAGTGGGAGGAAGACAGAAGGGGAGCAAGCTTCAGCGAGAGACTTTCGACGTGCTGCTTTTGGGCCGGCATGCCAAAAGGCAAACAGTCTGGTCCACAAATGTCCCAGCGGGCCCGCCGCACGCGAGCCGACTGGGCCAGCTGGACATCAAGTGTGCAGGTTCTTGAGAATGCTGCTAGCCGCTAGCCAAAGGCGTCTTGCTTCTGTGCCGAGGGCTGACGGAAGCAAGAAGAAGTGAAGAGCGCAGAGTTGTTTGACCTTGCAGCGGAAAAAATAATTCCCGCATGGTTGACCTCCAGCTCCAGGATGAATTCAACAGGTGTGTTTCGTTATGAAAATCTTTGTGTAGACTGAACAGCAGACAATCCATTCTTTTCGCTATTAACATCTATGCTGCGTTATTAATACCCGTGTTTCGCCATTAAAGAGTACCCTGCCCGCAAGGTGGGTACCCTGACTGCGCATTTCCTAGGGTTTCCTGACTCTGTCAAAATGGCTTCCTGACTTGGACGAGCCGGTTTCCTCACTCACGGTTCCCCTTCAACGTGTCATCATACAGTGAAGATCACATTCGACAGCCTGCCTTTCTCGGGCGTTTCCCTTCCACTAGATACAGCTGATCTTATAATGACTCAACGCCATCAGGCCTTCTGTGGGCCAGGCTTTTGAAATTGCCTGATAACTGGGCCAAACACCATACCTGACCACAAAATGAGAATCTCCACCGCTGCATCTATACTGATTCATATCGTCATAAGCAGAATCTTGTCAGCTATACTGAGCTGTGTGGCCGAAGAAGCCAAGAATAAAGTTGATGGTTAAGTTCGCATATCCTCAAATTGCAACGAAAGAAAATACAAACATCCGCACGTGAAATTATCACTTGAGGAACAATGCACAAGTGAGCTTGACGAGGTTCCAAGGAAATTTTGGATGTAGCCCTGCTGCTCCTCAATTCTCCAATTTGAATTGGACATTTCAGCAATTTCTCCGACTTTATTGCCCCTCGTCACCTCTCCTCTTCTGGTAAAAATGCATGGGCTGGCTGGACGCCTCGGCCCAAGAGCCCAAGGGCCATTTATTGAAAAGTCTTTCATCTCAGATCAAGGCTAAGGAGCAAAGCAACCTAGGTTTTCTGACAAAAGCTGGTTTTTGGTGACGCTGGGGAAAGGCCGCAAGTAGGTACAAGACAAGCCATGTGACAAACATGTTGGCCGCTAGAAGAAAGACATAGCAGAGCCGTCACTGTCAGAAACAGTTTCTGGATTTTGATGGACAAGCCTAGCAGAACCCTTCCAAGCACTTCCAAAGGCCTGTCCGAGGCCTCACCAGCTGGCCGGCCTGTTGCGGCCTCTCTGTGGCCTGTCCGAAGCCTGCCTCCTCTCTTCTTATGGGCTTCCGAAGGCGACGTTTAGGCATTTTGGACCGCCTTCAAAAGCTTTTCGGCCTCTTGCGGCCTCTCTGTGGCCTGTCCGAAGCTTCTCGGCAGCCGGCAGGCCTCTTGCGGCCTCTCTGTGGCCTGCCTCCTCTCTTCTTATGGGCTTCCGAAGGCAACGTGAGGCATTTTGGACCGGCTTCAAAAGCCTCTCGGCAGCCGGCAGGCCTCTTGCGGCCTCTCTGTGGCCTGTCCGAAGCCTGCCTCCTCTCTTCTTATGGGCTTCCGAAGGCAACGTTAGGCATTTTGGCTCGGCTTCAAACGCTCCCCAGAGCCTCACCGCAGCCTTGCCCTCTTCTCGGCAGCTGGTTGAATGCCAGCATTGGTGTGAAGCCCATCCAAGTCTCGCTGTTGAATCCCAGGAAGTTGTCAAGGTTCAACCGCCAAACCCTCGAGATGAAAAGGGGTCGGCGGCACCCGGGCGGAGCCCTTACAATTAAGCTGGTTGAGATACAGCTGCTAGCTCCTAACAAGTCTCAGGGAACAGCACTTGCGATTGCAGGCAAAGCAAACGCTAGCGGAAGTACCTTCGTGTGCAAACAGCTCCTACGGTCTATTTGCTGTATCATTCATGGAACAAAAACAATGGAACTGGTGTCAATTTAAGTTCCGTGTATGTTTCTGCGCAGCATGGGCACAACAGTGCTGAAACTCGCATACCTGAATATTGGTTCCACGGGGCACTGTTGTCTCCGAGCTGTCCACCGCGCAATCAACTGTCCTGGCCCCATTCGAGCGGTAGAGCTGCATGCTTGTGTCAAAGAACCAGATTTGGATTTTAGAAAGAAGGGCATCACTCGCTCCTGCCATCTGTTGATTTGCACTCAGGGCGCCTGGGCCTTGGGAAGCTCCAAAGAGCGTAAAAACGTACGTAAGCAAGTTCTCATCTAAGTTCAAAACGTATACCCAGGTCCAACAAAGGTGTGACAGAGCAAACCTGCCGCAGTCATAAGCTTCCTTGCCTGTACCGGCCTGCGCCCATGCCCATAACGGTCACCCATTCCCACTACTGTCGGTGTGCATCACGCATGATGTATTTATATATACACATACCTGAGAAGGGGGGACGAAAGCACGCAGCCGCCAGACGAGTGTCTCTTTTTCTGGCGGGCGTCGCGGCGCAAGACACATGGTCGGCAGCTTGCGAGTCAGCGGTGCGGATGCGGGGGGGGGGTATGTAATGGTGATGGAGGGAGCAGAGAAGCAAGCAGGGCGGCTTTGGGATAAGTTTGGTATGAAAGTAGTGAAAGAGAAACGCGATACGTTGTATGTTGGTGTAGGTCATCGTGACAAGGCAATGGCATGTGTTTGTCACACATCTTATGGAAGTTGGAAGGCGACATCACCGTTACCGTCTGTGTTCGAGTGGTGGAATACCACGTGCGCGCGCAGAAAGACCTTCTCCATAGTGAGCGTCGCCGCGCGGCGCGCGCGAGTACGGCATGCGTTTGAAAGGAAGCAACTTTTTGTGTTTGTTACATTTGGAGTGTTTGAAGTTTGCAATACTGCGGCGCGTCGAAAAGCGGCATTCGTTGATTTGGAAGAGTGAACAGGCACGTCTTAGCCGGGACACGGACGTTTGATCCCGCGGCGCAGAAGGGGAGGTCCAGCAGGAGTAGCTTGGGCTAGTAAAGGACTGAGGATTTGTGTGCCTATCGATGCACATGCCTGGACTTGAGTGGATCATGTTCTCTTTTCACCGATCCAAAAACCTTCTTTATTCTTCTCTTTCTTATCAACTCTGCGCTTGACTTTGGCACCTGCGTGTGTAGATCTTTGGGCCGTGGACCCAGGCTGACTGGATTCGGCCAGGGCTGCCAGCAAAAAGGCGACGTCATGAGTATTTATCTATCTATCTCTATCTCTATCTCTATCTCTATCTCTATCTATGTATGTATCTGTCTATCTGCACCGGCAAGCCGGAAAAACGTTCGGTGCGTGGGGACGCCGCGAGAAGCATCCACTCGACCGAGGACATAGTGCAAGTATAGTTTTTGCTAGGGGGCAGGAGCCCTATGCGGATATGTAGTCAACCTCGCAGGCGCCCGCCGAAACAGTCCAAATTCATGGACTTGAACTCATGTCACTTTCGGTTCTCTATGGATTTCCCGAGTTACGGGTTGTCGTGGGGCCTCGTATCCTACATGCGGCTGCGGTCTGCTCTATAGACTCCAAAGAATGATGCACGATGCACTACTCGGCGTCCATTGCTGCATCACTCGCATCACCAGACCCCATTTTCACTGCTTTTCTGACCCTCGCTTTGGAGCGCTCTCCCCAAGCTCTGGGTTCACCCCAACGACCACCCCCCCCACCCCCCTTAACTCACTTCGTTCGCTCTAAAGCTCAAGCCTAGCCTATCGGCTGGCTTTCGTAATCTATTTATTTTTCACCACAAATCACCACCAGACATTCCTTTTGTTATTTTCTCTTTTTTGGGCTCTTCTTTGAGTTGGCTAGGGAAAAGGTGATCGGCCAATACAAAAAAGAAGACACGGACATACAAGAAATACAAATAATTTCTATGAACAAATATATGCCTATGCCAGCCCATGGCTCATCCTCCCACTGGCTCATCGATTCAGTGACGTGGCCTTGACGCCCGTTAAAGAGAGCCTATACGATCGAGGTGGCAACAAAACAGAAAACATGCATTACTGAATAGTATTACAGTATATTACAGTACTGTCTGGGGTTAAAGCATATGAAACAGCGGATTGGAGGCGAGGCAGCCAGCCATCCCTCCATCCACTGCTGCAGTCATCCTCCATCCACCCATCACCCCTCTCTCGACATGGACATACATCGCAATCAAACGCAAATCTCTTGGACGCAAGCCCTATTGTCAAATTCCTTGCATGACCAAGTCGTTACGCCCCAGGAAAGCTAGCAGTGCCAGCAGCCAATATCACGGTATCACTTCACGTGCGTCGACTCGTTATAATTGTTGCCCTGATCCCTTCGTTGACAGGGGATTTATTGAATAAACGGCAATTTGCTGTTGTCCATCATAATCAGGCCACAATGCAACACAGCCATCCAATGCTGCTTGGCTTCGCGTCAATGCAACATCCCACATCACACTTGAAACCTGAAAATACAGGAACATACAAAACGTATCCCGCCTCCAGCTGCGATCAGGGTTAGAGGAAGCAACCGGTTTCGCCGCGAGTATGTCATGACCTGGATGAACGCATTGCTCCCCAATGTTCTCCATATGCGAGATCGGTCCATCAAGACAACATAGACTTCAACAAACCTTAAGCTGCATAGGTCCATTTTTCAACTTTAAGCTGCATGATCTTTGATCCCGCCTCAGTACAACCACCTTTGAATGCAATGCTCCGTGCTTCGAGACCAAACAGTGCAAGACACATTGAGGTTCAAAGGCTTGTGTCCTTCCCGAACAGCCCTTTTGCATCCTTTTGTCCTTAATTCGCTTTTTTTCCTTCGTGAATCATGACATTTGTCTCTTTTTCCCTCGCACTGTCAGCTTCCCCGCTGTCCCGGCGAATATATGCGAATACTAATGGTTCCGCCAAATCAAACTTGTCAGCTGACAAATCATGCACCCTGCGTGACAACTGAACTCAAGCAACATCCAATACTAATAAACAAAACATCTGGCAACCTTGAAATCAGCAGAACAGCACAGCCACTTACAGTACTTCATCTGTCACGCCACCATGTTTGGAATCATGTCTCACTTTCAATAATCAAATGCCTCGGCTGCAACGGGTTTGAATGTTTGCCTGCCAGAATGAACTTGCTGTCAAGTGGCTGTAGTGGCACCGATTTGCTACGCCTCCTTGGAAATTCAAAAGCAAATCCATCACACTTCCTGACCCGCTTGAATGCAAAATGTTTTACGCGCAACCCGCCAGTGCAGCTCAGGAATCGAGGTTTGAGGTCAATGCGATGGGCTTGGGCGGCTTGGGCGGCTTGGTCTTCAAAAACAGTCCGAAGACTCCGCCGTAACTTGCCTTTGCATGATCAGGTCGAGTTGGCATGAGCTGAACCTGTCTGAGGTATCCACGCTGTTGGGCGTGACATGGCCTGTTTGGAACCTGCAGGATGCTACTTGATCACACCACACACAAGCACGAGCGATCTGCAAATCCTGGTCTTGCTTTGCTTTCAAGTCTTAGAAGATCAGTTTGTTTGTTGCAACACCGAGGAAGGTTTGGGCGTGCGCGTTCTCAACTTGTAATTATCCTTGTATATATATGTATATATATATATGTATGTATGTATGTATGTATGTATGTATGTATGTATGTATGTATGTATGTATGTATGTATGTATGTATTTTTTTCTCCTGAAGGTGCATTTCGGTTGGGCCGTGGTGGCCTGGGTTCCGGCGCTGTGGCCTCAGTGCCGCTCAGCCATCTCAAAAGAAGTCGACAAGGATCTCCGGGTCATTGACAGTGTCCGCCTCTTCTTCAGCTTCTTCGTGGGTGGTGGCACTCTGCTCATCGGTCTCTGGCTGCATCTCAGCCGAGAATCTGAGCTTTTTGGGCACGGGAGGTGATAGTTCGTCAGAACAATCCTGAGCCGGTGCAACTGGAGCAGAAGTTGGCTGGGTGTCATGGCCGGTGATGTGGCTTCCACATGGGTGCAGCTGCAGCTGTGCTGAGGTGTGGCTCAGGTGGTACTGCAGGACCTTGAGGATTGGTCTGACTGAAGAAATGAGCCAGTGTCGGCGAGGTCGGTTTGTGACCTTTGCATTCCCGTTGGAGCCCTTTCGTGAGAATCAGCCGGTCTTGAGCATCCAAGTGGGTGTGAAGTCCGCAGCCTTTGCATTGAATGCCTCTGCCAATCTGCCACAAAGTGTGGGTTCCGTGTGCTGCATGCACTTGGGAGAAAGGTGCATCAATGCAGCTGCTGGTCAGGAAGTGGTTGAATAACTCTTCATTGGCCCGTTTATGGATGGCCAGGTTGCATTTGGTGCACTTCAAGTAGCCAGTGGTCTCTTGTAGGTGATGAACATCAGGGGTGGTCGGATGTTCTTGTTGGAGCTGAAGTAGTGAGGCTATGCGGCTAGCCCTTGTGGGTTTCTTCCCAACTGCCCGGCCGGGTGGGAGATCTGGTTCAGGTGTTGGTGCTGTGAGTTGTGCACAGTCCTCTTGGAGCCTTTCTTCGATCATGGATGCCGGCAAGCCCTGGTGGACCCTGGTTTGGCAGGTGTGGCATTGGTAGCCGCTGCGGTGGGCCTTCCACTGATGCTTGCCCGGTTGCCAGGGCTGCTGACACTGAGCGATGAGGGTCTTTTTCCTTTGCTTGGTCTTGTGGGCTGTTGCTCTGCCCGGTTTGGTGTGCAGATAGTGCTCCTTGTCTTCGTAGATTTTGGCCAGTCTGGCGGCCGCATGTGTGTAGATCTCCAGGTGATCTTGGTCGAGGACGCGCTGCCAAACTTCTTTCTCGGGGTTGTGGATGCTCTAGGGCTGCATCCCTTTGCCGCTGGCGTAGATGTGGTTCGTTGCCCGGAGCGTCAGGGGTCTTGTGGTTCTTGTGGATGTAGAGGGGTGTGATCAGAGTAAAGTACTCTGCTGCTTGCCCCTGGACCAGGTCATGAAAACCCTTCCGCTTGGCTGGGTTGATCCAAGCTTCCCAGACCGAACTGACCTGGACAATCACCCGTGTTGGTGTCTGGATGAATTGAGCCAGAGTGAGGAGCCCTTGGAAAATGGCACGTGCTTTCGTTTGAGGGCCTCTTGCCATTCCACTAATAATACCTTTTCTTTGCAGAGCTCCGAGAGAGTAGCCATGAATGCAGAGGGCATAGATCCAGGCCTGAGCTCGTTTGTCTCCTGACGTGGGAGTGGCATCGATAGTGACTGAAAGCCCTTGCCACGGTTGTAGTGGAAGTGGTTCCAGAGATTGCCAACAGCCATGCCCTGCCAGGCCGAGTGGACAATGGAGGTGGTCCTGTGGCTCTTTTGGAATCCACCCGTAAGCCCAGAGAGGCTCTTCCAGCGGGTCTTGTAGCCTTTCGGTCCATGGCGCTGGAAGTGGTGCGTGCTTTTGGTTGTGGTGCCATTTGCACATCCAAATGATGTGCTTCGGTGTCGCCGGGACTTGGCAGATGGGGCACAGTTTGGTGCTGGCGCCATCCTTGAACCTGATGGCTGCTTGGTTCCAAGTGCGGATGTGTGTGGCCTGGGCCTTGCTGAGGCTTTTGGTGGCCTTAGATGCCGTGGTCCAGTCAATGCCGCTGACGAGTGCTTGGCAGTTGCGTCTGCTGGCGAACCGATGCTGGCGCTGCTGTTTGGCCTCTGCTTGTAAGAGTTCTTCCACCTGCCACCTGTTCTTCTTGAAACGGTGCTGCAGGGTGGTGATGCGCCGTCTTCTGCCTGCTTGGTGATCTATGCCTAAGTCTCTCATGACCGACTGGATGGGTGGATCATCGGGCCCGAGGAGTTTGGCCAGTGCTCTATGGGTGGCTCTGTCGGTGACTATAAAGGCAGTTTTGTGGTTGTTGACTTTGAGGCCGGCATCTGTCAGTTGACTACGTAGTTCATGCCAGGCTGTCACAATGCGGGTGGCCAATGTATCTGGGTTGTGGTGATTGCCATCAAAACCAATGTCATCGACCCATCCGTTGAGGTGCAAATCTGGATGCTTGGCCTGGAAAGGGCTGAGGATGGGTTGGAGAAAGGCTTTAGCCAGCAATGGGGCCTGAGGGCACCCGGCAGCTACGCCATGGGTGACGTGGAACCAGTGGCTGAGCTCAGCATCAGCTAGCACTGCTTTTGGCCCCGTGTAGACCTGCATGGCGAACTCAAGGGCAAGTGGTGGATAGTCATGTGCTTGTGCCACTGTCTGTAGTTTCTTAAGGTCGATGGTGTCGTAGAAGGTGCTCATGTCCAAAAGAACTGTGATGCCGTGTTGTGCCAGTGTTTTGTTGCTTTCCTGGCGAAGTAGCCGGTCAAGAGCTACATGAAGTGCTGTGGCTCCTGGTCGTGCTCGATCATAGTCCATGGATGAGGGCAAATTGAGTTGCCAGCTGTCGAGCATGCTCTTGCGGAGGCGACACCAGGTGCGATAGAGGACGCTGGTTAAGGTGATTGGTCGTTCCACCTTCTCGTTTTTGGCCAGCATCACCACCAGGCTCATCTGGAGTTGTGTGGGCATGGTGGCTGATTTCTCCATGTCTTGCAGCAGTTGGAGCAAACTTCGCAGGGCCTGAGGGGGAGTGTTCCTCAGGAGCTGTGTGCTGATGGCATCTGGTCCACATGCTCGGTCCGGCAGCTGCTTGAGGACCCTGGCCAGGTGTCCTATCGTGAGTGGTGGTAGTTGTGCAGCTTGCTTTTGGGCACTGTCCTGTAAGGAGTCCCTTGCCAAAGCTTGGTTGTCGGCAGTGGGTTGCCAGTGTTGATGCCAGTCGTGGAGTCGATGTCTCATTCTGTCAGCCATGGGGACAGTGCGGTATGGCCGTTGCCAAGCCAGCTCACTGGCCTTGAGGTTCCTGAAAAGACCTCGAAGTCCTTTGGCTTCACCTTGTCTGATCCAGGCAGCGTACTGAAGTTGTCCCTCAGTTCGGGATTGCTCGAGTGCTTGAGTAAGCTGATGTTGGATCGTATGCTGCATGAGCTCAAGTGTGCGTGGATCCTTGTGGTGGTTCCAGTGCTGTATCATGTCCAGGAACTGAGCCCAGGCTGGTTCGCCGATCCAGTGCTTTGGTGTGGATTCGGTGGCTTTGAGGAAACCTTGTATGGTTCCTGGGGATGGGTGCGCTTGGTGCTGGATGAGGCTCAGGCGTGCTTGGAGCTGTTCCCAAAAGGCTGGTTTACCTTTCTTCCAGATTGGACCGGCCTTGGGCGAGGTGAGTGGTTTGTACTCCGCCTGGAGGTTGGAGGCTCGCCCTTGTGGTGCCCAGGGGTGCTGTTGTAATAGATATTGTTCAGTGACAGAAACCCAGTCCGCAAGGTGTTTTGCTGGCTGATTGGGCATGGTGTCGTAGAGCTGGACTTCTTCGACCTGTGTGACGTAGGTGGTCCATGGCCGAAAACCGGGATTGGGCCGGTCAGGGAGTGCCGGGAAGGTGCGCGACTGGTTGTAGTTCCTGAAGTCGTCTGGCAGTTCAAGAGCATAGGTGACCAGACAATGCGGTCGCCAGGGGACTGCCCACTCCGTAGTCATTGAAGTGAGGGGAGCGAGCTGGTTATGGATCAGAGCGTAGTCCAACACATTGCCATTGAGGAGTGTGGCATCCGGGGCAAGAATCTGCCAGTGAAATTTGGATCCCAGAACTGTGCCTTGGAATTGGCTTATGTATGTATGTATTTTTTTCTTCTAGAGGGGCAGAGTGCTCAGGCCGTGGTGGCCAGTGTCGGTGGCATTTGCCTCAGTGGCCGCTTCTCAGAAGGTGCCTGT